GATTTCATCTTATAAATAGCGCAACATATTAACTCAACCACCACAGATTTCAACTTTAGCATTTGCATTTTTTTTTTTAGATCTGGATCTCTAGGTAGATGATCTTGTTGGTCCCTAGATCAAGACCCTCCTCTAAAGACTTGAGGGCTTGTGGTTGACACAACTATTAGTTACCACAGCTCTTCAAGACTTTGCCAAGAAAAGTATTAGCCATGCTAACATAAGGATGCCTGAAAAATGAAACATCTCAGCAGTCAGAAACAATTTCGTAACTTGAGCCAGTACCTACTGAAACTGTCAGCTTTCCAGGACCTGCAAGAAGATTATCAAGAAGATGCATCCAGGCTTTTCACAGTGGTGCCTGGCAGGAAGACAAGAGACAATGGGCACAAATTGAAAACCTCCAAGTATGGAAATTGCAAAAGCTCTCTGAACAACCTGCTGTGCTGCTTCTCTGTAGAAACTTTTTCACTATGTGGACAGAGAAGCAGCGGAACAAGTTATTCAGGAAGGTCTTCATCCTTGGAGATTTTCAGAGACCAACTGGTAAAGAGCAAAGCAACCTGCTCTGATGTAAGTGGCTAGTTAAAATAAAAATAGCAATAGAGCCTTAATAAAGCCCTAGTGCTTTCAAAAGGAAAGGATGATCTTGTGTCAAGACAACAAAGCTTTTCACAGGGTGTAAAATTTTCTATTATGTACTTAAACAAAGCGGTTTAGGATAGATCAAAAGCTTAAAGAGAAGATACAGATCTTAGTTTTTCAAATCAGTGGCAGGGAAACGCACTTCTGTGAACAGGAATAATGGATAAGCTCTCTGTGCATTAAAAGCCTGTTAGATGGGTTTAAAGAATTGACGCTGGGCATTAGCCTTCCTCTTTTTAGCTTGGGGATGCATTTTCTCCAGAGGGAATGTAACTGAAATTCAGCTCTCAGGCTAACAATCCCAAAGATTTGAAATGGCTGAAGAAGTTTGCATATTGACTTAGGATCTTAGGCTGAAGAGCAGACATAGCGGTTTATAAAGAAGCCTTATGAATTTTTCTTTAAAAAAAATAACTTCCTTTATGTATAAAAATAATTACAGGCAGTGAGTGTGTTGTTGTCCATATAGAAGTAAGATTACTAAAATGCATTTTCAGTGTATATGCATACTTTTGTGTATATTACACAATCATAATATGAATGTATTGACTGATTGTGTGGACAAATGAGAATGGATATAATTTGTATGATTCTCCCTGCATGTTTAATATAAATACTCATGGTTCCTAAATCAATTCAAAATACTAGCAGAAAAATTCTTGTAGAAGACTCCGTTTACATAGGCTAAAATCTCCTTTATTGCGGTGGAATACTCTGTAGTTGTAGAGTCTAGTTAAAAAATAACTATTAGCCATTTCGCTGTTGCTATGTCTAGGTTGTTTTTCATTCCTTTGAATAAAACAGTGAGATAAGATTTTCAGAAAAGGATCATCAAAAGAAAATTCAATCAATGTTGATTTTCCTTTCCTCAATGTTATTAGTAGAAGCTATTAAATGTTTTTGAAATTCAATTTCCCTCAAAATTAATGTGTCAGTTTCTCTGGGTTATGTTTTATAGAGTTAATTTTCACACACAAAGTATCAATACTTGCAAATGCCAACCTACTAAACATGCTACGGCTCATGTACTACTCAACATTTATGCACAGATTTCCTGTTGAAGTTATTTGTAGCTGCATGCATAGACTGAATTCAGCATAATTTTAAAACTTATCTCCTTATAAGTTAGGTACCAGATTTCAGGTCTGTGCAACTGAAAATAGAAAAATCCTCCCTTTTATTCTTTAAATGTTAAACTACTTAAAAGTCAGTCAACAAGCTGCTTTGAAGTGAAATGTAAATGGTGAAGCAAAGGAGGGAGATTTTAGAATGCCTTAGTGGTTTCTGTAGGAGAAATAAATCATGTATACCTTGAGTTGTTTGTTGGTGAGTGAACACTGTACAACTGCACACGGCAGAAAGACAGAGAAACCTTTATGTGGCTGTGAAGAGGTTATCTGCAGCCCTCATAGGTCTCAAAAAGAAGGGAAAACCTGGCAATCCCTGCTCACAGAGTTCTAAATTAATGTAGAAATTAGACCATACTGAGAGTGCATATGCTAGTATCAAAGGACAGATTATCATTAACCTTTAAGATGGAGGATCAAGTATTATTGAGTAATCTCCAAAATATCTGATGTATTTTGAGAAAGTAGAGGGGGAATAACTGTCGGTGGTTCCGTTGACTTTGCAAAGTGTCATGTAGAGTACAATGCATACTGTTTCTTCCCCATTCTTGTCCTGGACAGTCTCTTTCCTGCTAGAGAACCTCTTTTTGAAAAACTGTCAAAATGGATGCAGAATGTAAGTGCCATTCTGCAGTTTATTGTGCCATAATTTAGAATGCTGAAGTAAATGCAAGACTGTGATTTCCTCACTCTTGACATACTTAAAGTAAGAATTTATTGTGAGGGATATTTTTCCCAAGTGTCTGTCAACTACTGTTGGCATTATTGTCTGCAGTGTACCCCTTCATCACGTGGTATGGCTGCTGGTCGTGTGCTGTACAACTCTTCCATTTTACTCAGGACTGTGCCTTGTGTTGGAATGTCCTTTTCACTCTTATTTCTAATTGCCATTGTAACCTTTAGTTGGTGCAGAATTTTTCTCTGTAGTTACTAGCTTATACTCACGCCTTCATCTCAAGTTCTCTAAGGTCAAGAGTAAATGCTTTTTAGAATTATACTTTTAGATAGGTAAAGCTTTTTTTTTTCTTTAAAGAAACCAGAATCATATGTAATGCCTTCTAAAAAATGGAATAATATATCATTGCAATGTGAGACAAATATTCTTTGTTATGGAACTTATCAGAAAGCTATTCAAATATATACTCATTTGTTAATGTTGCGAAATGCAGATTGACAAAATCCTGACTTTAGAGCATTCCTTTGCAGTTCATCCTGAGAATTCTCTTATTGGTATTTCTTCATTGTGGAAGAGTGTAGGACAGCCTAGTACTCCACTTTTGGAAACTTTGCATCTTATTTCTCTTACATTCATATAGTGCCATTTCAGAATGAAAAAATTGCCAAGAGATTGAATATCTTGGAGATAACATATATTAGCCAAAGCAGTTATTTGTGGTAGTATTACATTTTCATGTCAGTCACTCTAGAACTTTTTTATTTCCTCAGTCAGTAGACACTCTGGATCCCTTTTTTCTTCTCTAGTGAATATAATAGTTCAAGAATATTGAAACAATTACTAAAGATCTGAAGAAAATCTTGAGATAGCAAGATAGGGACCTATATTTTGGATCTATGTCTCCCAGACTGGAATTTCTGATTGTCCTGTTCTCTCATATGAGGCATGCTTTATTTCTTGTTCAGTCATTTTTCTAATATCATCTGCAACTTCCCTAGAGCTTTGCTGCACTGGCGATAGTTACTCACTTGTATATCGTTTTGTTTTTATCTAATGACCAGGAGTTGTATTTCCTACAGTATTTGTTAAGAGAAATAGTTTAAGAGAAATCATTTGTTATTCATTAAGGCTCTGTTAATATTTTAAGATCAAAATTCACAACTGCCAATAGTCTTCCAAAAGATGTGTTTTCTCTGTCTTTGGGCAGCTGTTTCTTCTGATACTGTCTAGTGAGTTGACTTCAGACTTTTAGGGTAAGGATTTCTAGTTGCCTCAAGAACTCATAGCTTGAGTTGTTATGTTTCTTAAATTTCTACATGTTGTCTCATAATTTTAATCCAAATTAGTTTCTTATGTTACTACATTCTTTATGCATCACGTGGAATATCATCGGTAACATACAATATATAAAAACTCAGCTGCTGTGGAATAAAGCCTTGGTGGTCTGATTAATACATATAAATTCTGAATACCGATAGAAATTAAGCATATGTCATATTTTTTGACTGGTAAACCCTTATCAGGTAAAATGAACAGTGGCAACAGAGTTTCATGTTGCAATGCAGAACTACTTTATGAGAGTAGATCTAATGATATGATAAATGTTCATAACAACATTAAGTTGTAGCAGAATTTTGTGAAAGGTGAGAAAACAAAAAAAAAGGGAACATTGAAATGTTATAACATTGTGTTGAATTTTGTGTGTGACACAGTATGCAAATACCAACTGAGAAGAATAAAATACATAAATATATGAATTCATATGTTTTTATTGGTAATAAAAATCTCTAGATCTTGGCTTAGAATAGTAATCCTGACAATGGTGTAATCTGAAGATATGTCACTTGGATAACAGTATTTCGTGGTAGCTATACCATTTCTGTCATTACATTACCTGTGTTTATACATGATTTAGAAGGAATTCTTAGTTTACAGCTTGCCAAGTCTTGTAGTGTATAATAGGCAGTTATCTACAAGTTTCATAGTGATTTCCACAAATCAGTAAGGACAGTTTTACTTTGTTAGTAGTTACTCCCTGTAGCAACCTTTCAGGAGTAGCACTTTCTATTTTAATATATTCTTCATTTTTCTTACCAATATTTGTGCTAAAATAAGCAAAACTACTTCCTGGAACTTTCCCTGCACTTAGATAAGCATATTCACATTTGATTCACTAATATATCACCTTCTAAAAACACAGTGAAGGACTGACAAAGATACATGTTGCCATGTATATTTTGAAAAGTTTTAAAAGACATGACAATGGATGTTCATGTTTTCTGCAAGATGCAGTTTGTTTGGGTTTTTTGCTTCTCTAACTGTAAAACTGTTTTTAATTTTTTTTTAATGCTGCTATGTCAGTTTAGCAAACAGGAAGTAGAATAAACCTGTGTCATTACTTCAAGGTAGAAGAGAGCTTTAAATTTCAGCCAACCTAGTACTAAAACAAACCTCCTCCATGTACAGTTTGTGTTTTGCCTATTCTGATTGTCTTCTTCAACTTATTTCTCCTGACTTATGGCCTGTTTCTCTTCTTGTATTTCTGTTAACAGAAAGCTGACCTTGCAGTTGCACCGTTGGCAATTACCTATGTTCGAGAGAAGGTCATCGACTTTTCCAAGCCCTTTATGACTCTTGGAATAAGTATTTTGTACCGCAAGCCCAATGGTACAAACCCGGGCGTCTTCTCCTTCCTGAATCCTCTCTCCCCTGATATCTGGATGTATATTCTGCTGGCTTACTTGGGTGTCAGTTGTGTGCTCTTTGTCATAGCCAGGTAACATGTCAACTTTTGTGATTTTTTTGGCAATTGTTATCATCTTTTTCTTACTAATAATTGTCAAAAGTCACAAAAATTTTCTTACTTTGATACTCTTATATTTTAACTTCATTATGTACAGAAAAATAATTAACGATGAGGGTTCTCACTATTAATTTTCTCCACTGCTATACTAAGTCTCCAGTTTATAATCTAAGTCTTGAGTATACTAGCTAGCTTTCTTCTTTTATTTACAAATTTAGAGACGCTAGAAAGTTTATGATATGTCTTTTCAAACTCTGCTGTGTTTAGAAAGATAGGGTTTTACTTTGTTAGTCTGATTTCATTTAATACTATGGTGCTAAATCTCAAATTGAGTACTTAGCTGCCCATGTTAATCCTAGACGTCCGAATTGGCCTCTACCTGTTATAAAGCAGGTTACTTTGTGTAGATTAGTATCTTAGAAGTAGGGTAACAATATTTAGGTTTTAATTGTGTGCTAGGTAAAATCCCCGAGATACCTCACATAATTTAAAGTCCCAGCCTGGAATGTATTTGGAACTACATTTGGTTGAGCTGTCAGAGTTAAGGAACTCAATATGGCAAGTGCAACATTGTAATTTGATTTGATATATAGGACTCTTCAACATAGACAATCAAGAAAACATCTTTTTTTTTCAAAAATTTCCATTATATTTACCTTCTCCTTGTTAAATAATTAAGACTGACTCCAGATGTTCACAGAAATATAGTCTTACATGTTGCAACAGACTTTCTCTGTGACAGCAAAAACAATCAGAACAGTAAATCAGCAGTTTCCAGGGGTGTAAATGTAATGTTTTGCAGATTCCTTCTACTAGTCACTTTTAAATATTTTAAAATCAAATACATATAAACTATATTGACTTTTATCTCTTTAATAAGTTTTTTTTTAATGTTTGACTTGCTAATGCAATCTCACTTCAACCCCAAGATTTTTATGATTTTATTCTGTGCTACACAATAGAGTCTTCATATTTTTCTTTTCCAGTTGTGCTGTACTTGGTGTCAGGGTTCTCTATCTTTCTTTGATACTATCCCCTTCATTTTTTAGAAGTTATTACCTCTACCCTTAGAGCAACAATATATTTTTAGAAACTGTTATAAAAGATTTTTAGCAAGATCACTTGTACATAAAGTACAGGAAGTATTGAAGTAATATAGGTAACATTGAAACATATTCTGTAATGAATAACGTTGCTTGTGTGCCTTTTTTAAAAGTCTGCTTTAAGGGGCAGACTTATGATGAAAGTTTATTGAAAAAACGGTAGATTTTAGTGGACTTTATAACCAGAGAGTAAACTTATTTCTGAGGTGTTCCTGTGATACAGATACTTCTGAAAGTACAGCCGAGTATAAATCACAAATGTTATCTCCTGAAACACCTCATGTAAAATATTTATGGTATGTTCAAAAGTTTTAACCCTATCATTATCACTGAAGGTCATTTTCAGAATGATGCACAGTGCTTTTGACAGGCAGCTCCCAGTAATGTTAGTAGGAGTTGTATGGCTGAGCTCCTACTTATGCTTTGAAAATGCATCTTTTCATATTTTTTAGGAAGCATTTTGTATCTATCCAGTCACTTGTGGTCTCACTAGCAGAACTGGAAAGACTGTTTATTTTTAAACAGAAGTGCCAAATAATAGTCCAGCATTGCTAAACCTTTCTCACTTGTCTGTTTTTGTGACCAGCACCATAATTCCTTGTGTGCTTGGAAGCATTATCTTCATTGTAAAGCAATATGAAATACGTTTTATACTGAGCAGAGTAGTTTGATTTTTATAGAGTTGTATAAAATACCTTTTTTACACCGAAGTTGATATCAACCTTCAGATCTGGAAATTTTCAATACCTCTTAACTTGTACAGTCAAATACTGATAACATATTTAAAAATAAAATGTCTAGGATTATATTAGAGAGTCTACAGATTTTACTCCTAATGCAGAATGACTTAATTATATGTGAGAATGCTTTCTAACACTATAGTTCATATAGGGAAGCAAGTCTAAGTTACAAATGTAATCTTCTGCTGAATATTAAAGAAAGAAAAGGAAAAACTAAGAGCCTCTTGCAAATATAATTCAAAAAATATATCTGTCACATAAAGGGAGATACTGCTAACTGAAGTGTGGTAGTGAAAAGGACATTGCAGCATAGTGCTGAATTTGAGTTTTCAGCATAGATTATAAGTTTCGTGCAGCTGATGATCTTTTGCAGTCCTGGTGTAATGAAACTGTTGGACTGTATGCCACTAAATTAATAGGTTCCACCTACAGTGTCTTATTAAGAAGAACTTTATTTCATAACAATCCTTCCATAATGAATGTTTAACTACCAGTGTTTCATAATAATTACTATGTGTTTCATAAGGTGTATCTATGTTTGGAACAGTACTTAGTATGTCTTTTATTATATGATGTTTTGTAATTACAACTCATCAGTTTATTCAGTGTAGAATAATTATTTTTAGATTTAAACCTCCTATTTTTGTGTCAAATGTTTTGTGATTTTACTGTTTTATCACGTGTTCCAAGCAGTGTTGGAATGTAAGATATTGGTTCATTGAAAACGGGAAGTAGAATTCTGTTGTGGCACTTGTATTTCACCCTTTAATTAGTGATATAGTCATATTTAGGGGAAGATTAAGATATTAGTAAAAGGTTCCAGAATCTTTGAGAGAAAATTGCTGAAACGACTTTCATAGAGTAATGTATTAGACATAAATGGGGGAAAAATGTAATATAAATCTTTATTAGTCTTGTCCTTTGAAAGAATGTTGGATTTACCTTCCAATTTGAGACCCGGATACAAAGAGCTGGAATCTTTGCCTACTCAACAAGACAAAAGCTAGGAGAGGTTCATTTGTTAACCGGAAGGTTTTTTTACACCATTTTCTTCTTGTAGTCCCCTCAAAAATGATGAGTCATCTGTTTGTGAGACACTACAGATTTTCATTGTGGATAGGATGAACATCTATGTGTTGTAGACAGTGTTTTCTTTAATTGTCATTCTTTGTTGGGAATTTTAATAGGCTGTGAGTTCTCCATATATATGAAAATATCTTAATCTTGTTTGTTGTCATTGTTGAATCTAAGTAGTTATGGTGGTTAGTCTTTGAAAATTCCTTTCTTTGTTGTCCAGGCTGATGATTGATAAATACAGTCTGCTTGACACTAAGCCTGTTACTTTTCTGCGAACTGAGAAATCCACAGCATTTTTTTCTTTTGTGGCAATGGTAATAGAACTGTTTCTGATGCTATCTAGCAGTCTTTGTGTCACCCCTAGCAGGTTCTTGTGTCAGCTGATGTCTTGTTGCATTCCAATTCCAATATCCGCCTTTTATGCCTCTGCCTTTACTTGTTTCTTTGATTTAGAACCCCAGTTAAATTCCACTTACATGTGACTAGAAGGAAAACTAGGACTGGATTTAAATGTGCCAACCCTTTTTTTTTATACTGTCAAGTATAGAACATTTTCTGATCTGTATAGTGCAAAATCTTGATTAATGAAATTTATTTTCATTTTCGTCTGTTGGACAAGCTCCTGTTTTTTTCTAAGAAACATGCTGATTTCATACAGTATTGTATACCAACTTCATAGACACATATTGTCCCTTTTTCTCCACTAGTCTGTGTATTGAAACAGCTGCTTCCTGTTGTTGATCTCTGCAAAATCTGACATGTTTGTAACTGAGGAGGATGCTTGCGGTTCTGCATAGGCAATATAAAGAAAATCAGTTTCATACTTTAAAAAATGCTAAATGTGTTTGATTGACATAGGTCTTCCAACTTATTACTTCTAAAATTAATAATCCTCAACTGGGATTCCTCATATTTGTAATATATTTTCTAGAGTCTCCTAAGTGTGATTTTAAACATCTATGTCTTCATGAATCTTTTCTGAAAACTCAGATTGGAGGCTAAAGCCCTTGAGTATTTTTATCCAATCGTTTTCTGCCTGATTTACTGAATTTCCAGTTATTCTCTGCAAGCTGAAATCTTTTTCTGTATAGTAAGGCCTGTTTGCTGTGAACATGTCTGTCATAAAGGAATTTACTAAGTGACCTATCTTCATAACTGGAAGGGATGTACCTGCCTCAGCATGATGCTTCAACTTTACAGACTAGCTGTGAAGCAGATAAACTACTCTGGATAAAGTGGTCCACTGACGAGCTCTTATTCTTCTCATGCTGAGCTGTTTGGAGTATCAGTGAATATTGTGTAAACATACATTAAACTGTGCTCATCATCCTAATTGTGACTATAAAGTCATGAGTTATCACATTAAAGGGCTTGATTCACCTTTACTTGTACCACATTCTGTAATTTAGGACTTCCTGCATTTTCCTCCCTTCAGTAGAGTTACGCTAACCTACTTCTTCTAAGTCAAGCTTTTGTGCTGGCTTCAGCTGTCAAAGCATTTAGTATCAACTGTTTTTCCATTTCCTTGTAAACAGTGATAAAAGCACATTGAACATTGCCTCATAACTAAATTACATTTTTCTCTTACCAGCTGGAATAAAACATAATAAAAGAAGACAAGGGTTTTAAAAATGTCTCCACACATTTATCTTAATCTTTTCTCTGTGAAGAAGCTTAGGAATAGCCTGATGCTTCATACTAGAGCAGACGCCTGACCAGTATCTCTCTCTGGAGTGCATGCATGCCCTTTTATGTTTCAGTCTTCATTTTTATTTCGTATTACTTGATCATCTAATTTCTGTCCTTGAGCTTGTCTGATTGATTTTCAAGCTAGTCCTTGAAAACTATCTTGATGGAATGGCAGAATGAGAAGGAACTACTTTTCCAGCTACTATGGAGTTCTGCTTACTAAATTACTATATTGATATTTATTCAAGTAGGAAGTTAACATGTTTGTTCTTTATTCTTAATAAGCATTCTTCCTATGAGAATTTTATCTCCTGAGGCCTCCTTAGAGAACCACAGCATATGTTATGAGGCTTTTTCAGGAATG